ACTTGACTTGACTTGACTTGACTTGACTTGACTTGATAGGGCTCCTTCCCATCTATCTTGACCGGGAAGAGGGGGGAGGCTCTTGCGGAAGCCCTGCCCGCCCTTCTCTATTTTTAGGGATCCCTCATATTGAGGAGGCTTCCCGGACTCGTAACAGACGACTAGGAACAAGAAGAGGGTCAGTAGTCTCTGTCGTTGCAGGTCCTTCTTCTTCCGCTGAGACGGCCCTCTTTTTTTTGTTTGTTCACCGCGGCACGAAAGAATGAAGAAGCTGGAATAACTCAGAAAGAGAGTGGCGCCTAGCCGTTGAGAGCGTCTGTTGTCTTTGTAGAGGAACAGTACGATCTTGGACTGGCCCCCTTCGCATGACCTAGAAAGAAAAAGAAGTCCGTGCTACTATAAGGCCTCTAAACTCCTCCCTCAGGACACTGTTGCGTTGCCCATGGGGACGGGGTAGCCCCGACTTCCATAGGTCCTTGGTTCGACCTCCTAATGAGAATGGAGGTCCTTGCGCGGGCGTCTCCTCCCTAAGACTTGCTTGCTCTGTATGGAGTGCCCCGTGGTTCCTCGAGTGCCAGCCGCAGAGAGGAATGCCATCAACTAGGGCGCTATTGGCCACTAACCACTCGCTCGCCGGCCGCTCGGGCTCCGCGTTTCAAGTTCGTTATCCTAACCGTCTCCTCTGCTCCACCGGGAGCCTGGCCCCTTCTTCTATCTTATCTACTGCCTTGCTCCTCGGCTCCATACTGCTCCAGCCGCTCGCTGTAATAGCTTGCTTCTCGGGTGGCTCGCACCCTGGGTGGTGCGGCTGAGCCAGAGTGGGCTCAGCAGTCGGCCTATGTTTCCGGGCGCACGCGTAAAGGCATGATTAGTTCCACAAATCTCACTGCACTGCCCATAGTAAACTCCTTCTCGTTGTACCAAAATAGAGGTCTGATTTAAACGACCAGGTACAGCATCACATTTGACACCTGAGGAAGGTACAACCCAACTATGAGGTACATCAGCAGGTGTTACAATAATACGTAGATGAGTTTTGGCTGGTACAACCACTCTATTGTCCACTTCTAATAAACGTGATTGACCCAATTCTGGATCATCTTCTGGAATCGTATAACTGTCAAAAGTGAGTGACTGTTCATCGGAACAGTTATAGTCCGAATACTCATAAGTCCGATACCATTGATGTCCAATAGCTTTGATAGTAATGGCTGGATCTACTACTACCTCGTCCATTGAGTATAACAGAGCAAATGATGGTATAGCAATGAACATCGGGATGATACTAGGAAATATGGTCCGAAGAATCTCGATAGTAGTTCCATGAACAATCCTTTGCGGGATTGGATTTTTTTGATAGTGGAAATGCCATAAAGCGCGAACCAAGATCCGTGATACGAAAACCAAAATAAGAATGAGGAAGAAAAAGATATCGTGATGTAAGTCTATTATTCCTTGCATCATAGGTGTTGCTGCGTCTTGAGATCCTAATTGCCATGGTTCCGCTGCATCACAAGGAGCAATTGTGAGGAATAGCCATTCTAGAACAATCATTTGGTTTGGTTCATTCTTTGACTGCTCTGCTCCCCCCAAAAAAAAGAGAGACTTGTTCTTGCTCTCCCAATTCAGGAAGACGGGAATCGCCGGTTGGGTTGGCTTTACCAACCAAAAGCCAAGAAAGGCATGGGAGTCTTTGGGCATTGCTGGGGCTAAGTCAAGCTTGGGCCGAGTGAAGTAAAGACTGGCTACCTAGAAACTAAACAAGAAACATGAAAACTTCCCTCTGAACATCACTAAGAAATCGTTTTTCTACTTTGATTTTTGATTTCATTCTCGATTTGAGACTCTAGTTCTCAAGAACATATTAAAGCACTCCTTGGAGTCCCTGTAAAAGAGACTCTTTCTGTCATATCGTTGGTTGTCTTTTTTGATCGTGCGCAGCTTTTCCAGACCATACTCTTCTTCGAGCACTTCGACGATTCGTTGAATCTTCTTAGGTGAGGGTGCCCTCATATGTTCGGATTTTCGTAAGTCGATAATAAGGTCAGCTACCTGATTTTCCAATGAGGTGAGCCTTCGCATATGTGAGGCCTTGTTAGCTTAGCTCCACCCGTTGGAGCTGGTTGCTCCTGCTGCTCCAACTCCCTCCAGATGTCCTCTTGGTTGACCTCAGCAGCTTGGATTTCAAACAAAGGAGGAACAGGCTCCTGAGCTAGTGGTAGTGGCTCAGAAACTTCCGGCACCGGGGGGAGGGCTTGCTGCACCTCCATCGAATCGACCTTATCCTCCTCAAACTCGCAACTTGCGACGATGATGATAGGAATTGGAATGGGAATACCCAGTAATGTTAGTATGGAATTGAATTGAAGAGTAGCAGCACCAGGAGTTGAGAAAGGAGAGAAAGAAAAATATCTTCAACAATTGTTGGGTCCGTGATGATAGATCTGGACCAGTTGAAAAGGCTCTCTCTTTTCTTCTTCATTCTCAACAGGAATGCATCAATAAAACTGCCCTTCCATATAGATCGTCGTGGCATGAACTTTGTCAATAGATTCCTAGCTAACTCCTCTTCCTATTGATCCAAAATCTTTTTCAAGTTGAGTTCTTTTGACGGCGAACCAACCGTAGCGCACTTGACACTTGACTGTACCCCAAATCCGTTTTTGAAGTTCTTTTTTGAACAGTTCGGTAAGCATACTTAAAGTCCTAGTTTTTGCATGTGTGAACTCTTCTCCTTCCTTGCTTTTTCATACGCTTGCTGGAGAAGGCCCTATGGAGTAAAGGGAAGTGCAGGAATGCTGTATGCATGTGATAAATGGGCTCGAACTCGCGGAAGTCGATCATATATATAATACGAAAATTGGATTTTGACTCATTATGTAAGACTTTCGCGAATGGAATAAAAAAACGAAAGAAAGCATACGCCTGTTCAATAGCTCTTTCCAATATAAAGCGGAACTCCTTCCGTAGAGTATCACTGAACACCAACCCAATCTCGAAGGTTCTTCTTTTATATATGATGAAAGCGTCTTTTATTGAGTAGAAATGGAGGAGAGCAGGAAAGAGAAAAGGGTAAGTCAAAGAGAGCCAACCAACCCAAATATAACCTACTGCTGTCCCTTCATTTATTCTTAAGTGCGAGCCGCAGATCGGGAAAGGAAGCATTCAGTGATGCCGGAGACTTTGGGCTTGGCTTGGAATGCGAAATGAATGGTTGGTTTGATTGAATGTGGAATTTCATTCATGTGGTGTGAATGCAGGGTGAAGGCAGGGGAACGGTGTAGAGAGACACCATAGAGAAAGGCATTTTGGACGTCCATCCGCCAGGACTTACTTGTTGCTAGAGAGATGAGCACTCGCACAGTAGTCATCTTTGCCACGGGACTAAACGTCTCGTCGTAGTCAATCCCGTACTGCTGTGAGAAAGCACGAGCAACCAATCAACCCCTTCGTACTTCGATCCAATCAATCGATCGATCAAGAGGCTAATCTCTTTTGTTTGGGCCGGTAGCTAAAAGAAAGTCCTCGCTTTCTCTTGAACAAGGGAAGGGCAGCATAGCATTAGCTTCAATTGAAGAAGCTCAACCTTGAAAAAGAAAGGTGGTAGGCCGAAGAACCGTTGAAGGCTTCAACTTGGCCACTGAAGAAGGCGAAGGCTGGGCGAGAGACTAGGCCAACTTACTGCCATGCCATGGTTGAAGCTTTAGGCTCCATAGACGGAACTATGTATTAGGTATTAGGGAGGGGAGGACACCACTCAGCACCTAAGGTGGGGTTCAATGCCTAACAAAAACGGCCAAAAGAAAAAAAGGGAAAAAAAGAGATGTATGGCTGAGGGAGGGAGAGAAAGAACGCATGCATGGAGATTCTGTCTGTCGGAGGTTCGAGAATCTATGAAAGGACATCTAAGGCTAAGGCTAAGGAAGAATTCAAGTAAGTCCATTACTGAGAGAAGTGGTGATCTCGTCTTGCTTGCTGGGAGAGAGGAAGCTTCCGGACCACCTTTTCCAGCCAGATAGTGAGCGATCACTCAGCAATGAACACTAACTGAAAGCGGCCGGGAATGAGTACCTATCCCTTACGGGAATCGAACCCGTGTCTTCGACATGAAAAGACGATGTCCTAACCACTGGACGAAAGGGACCAAAAAGCCATTCTTCATATACCTCAGCTCCGAGAATAGAAGTGGTTCGTTTTGTTTCTATACGCAATTCAATCTTNATTTATGATTATTATTATAAAATCAATTATATCCACATATTTACTTTCGTTTATTTTTTAATTTATATATATATTAGACTTTCAAGTTTTTTAGACTCTTTTATTAGTAGTATTTGACTTCTAAATACTTTTGAACTCTTTTATTAATAGCATATTTAAATAAAGTTTTTATATCAACGTGTAATTTATATTCTATCATTATATATAAATTATACATATAGTTGTCATATTGAATTTTATGGTCAAATATATGTCTTATTTAATTTTTGGGTATGCAATAATATCATAATATTAATAATAGTATTACAACCTAATCAATCTCGTCGACAAAAAATAAAATAAATTAAATATATAATTATATGTGAAAATAATCAAGAATTACCTTAAAAAAATGAAAGATTATGTATTCAAAGAACGGTTGAATAAATTAATAATTAGGTTTAGGAATAATTAAAATAAGAATTAATTATTTGACATATAATTTATTATTTAATTTAATTATAAATAAAATAATATTTTTAGAAAAATATTATTTATATATATTCACGTGCCACACAACTGTGATTTGATAGTAAAAAATAAAAAGTAAAAAAGACGGAAAAGGTGGAGAATCTCGCATTTGCCCACCCAAAACCTGTCTTAAATGGTTATACAAAAAAGGGATGTAAAGGGNTGACGTCCATCCGCCAAGACTTACTTGTTGCTAGAGAGATGAGCACTCGCACAGTAGTCATCTTTGCCACGGGACTAAACGTCTCGTCGTAGTCAATCCCGTACTGCTGTGAGAAAGCACGAGCAACCAATCAACCCCTTCGTACTTCGATCCAATCAATCGATCGATCAAGAGGCTAATCTCTTTTGTTTGGGCCGGTAGCTAAAAGAAAGTCCTCGCTTTCTCTTGAACAAGGGAAGGGCAGCATAGCATTAGCTTCAATTGAAGAAGCTCAACCTTGAAAAAGAAAGGTGGTAGGCCGAAGAACCGTTGAAGGCTTCAACTTGGCCACTGAAGAAGGCGAAGGCTGGGCGAGAGACTAGGCCAACTTACTGCCATGCCATGGTTGAAGCTTTAGGCTCCATANGATATGCCATTTAGTCTATTGTGAATCCCATAGTTAAAAAAATAAAAATCCCGTAAAGATGTGCTTAAATTGTATAAGATTTAAATAAAGGCTTCAGTTACTTAATGAATAAGGTGTTAGGGATTCTATAGGCTTAAAAACACTTTTGCCCCTGAATTTTGTCCTTTATTTGATTTTGCATATAGTTTTCTCAAGTTAATATTCAACATATGCGACATGATTCTGACTACCTCGGCTCCAACCCATGTATAATCGTGTATAAACGGTTTTCAATCATATCCAACTTGATCAAAAGTCGGAACTTATCCAAGTTGATAACAACTTATTTTGTAGGAAGATAGCAAGAAAATACATTAATAGGACCCATCAACATAGGGTATAGGAAAATTCCTCCGCAATGAAGTATAACTAAAAAGGTTTTATAAATTTTTAAATGGAACTCACGCCCCTTCCTCACAAAGGGCAAAAATTCATTTTAGCATTTTCTTTTGATAAAAAATCAAAACTTATCTGAGTCCATAATAACTTATTTTGTAGGAAGATAACAAGAAAATACATCAATAAGACCCATCGACACAAGGTATAGGAAAATTCCTCCGCAATGAAGTATAACTCGGAGTCCATAACAACTTGTCTTGTAGGAAGATAGCTAGAAAATACATCAGTAGGACCCATCGACCGTGGTATAGAAAATTACGCCGCAATGAAGTATAACTAAAAAGTTTATAGGAATTTTTAAATGGAACTCACACTCTTTCCTCACAAAGGCCAGAAAAGGCATTTTAGCATTCTCTATAAACGTCAAAACTTTTTCAAGTCCATAACAACTTATTTTGTAAGAAGATAGCAAGAAAATACATCAATTGGATATAAGCAAATTTCTCCGCCATGAAGTAGAACTAAAAACACTTCCACCCTTAGTTTGGTCCCTCATTTGGATTGGCCCCCAAATTGTTTTCTAATTTAGTATTCAAACTACGCAACATGCTTTAATGTGAGATTTTTGTCAATTTTGGCTGAATTATTGTCAAAACTTTATATATATTTGCTTCAAGTGAGACAAAGTAAATGATGAAGTTTGGTGGTGAATGGTTTTGAGAGAGAGAGAGGGAGTTTTTTTTTTTGGGGGGGGGGGGGGATCAAAAGAAGACAGGGCAGAGAGAAAGATCAGGTGATTTTTTAAAACTAACTTCTTGGTATTTAAATGTTCACCTTTTTTTTTGTGGGAGATAGTGTTTTAAGAGATAAAACTTTTCTTTAGAGGGAAAGAAATGAGTTTGCTAGGGAGGGAAAGAAATATTTTCTTAAAGAGAAAGATGAAATTGGGCTTCAAAAATACATGTAAAGTTCTATAGAAAGAGGAACCGATTTATTGAGAGAGAGAGAGAGATTTTTGATAAAAAAAAATGTAGTTTTTTACTGCATAGCACTTTTAGTTAATTCAAAGCATGTAATGAGTTTAAATATGATTCTATCTAGAATTTTGCACAAGAGAATTCATGCAATAGATTGAGGTAGCGATCGCGTGTATGATGAACCTGAAACAACCACAAGGTTAAAAAAGGGGTTAGGTGAACACCCAGCTTATTCCCTCTGAAGCTTAAGTCAGTGTAATTGGAGGTTAGAGCATCGTGTATTCTCTATCTCAGTTCTATTTTGCGTACTTTTATTCATTTTTTTGAGAAGTATTTATACCTGGGTTAGCAATGAGCGCAAAGACTTTAAGTCTCATCTCAACGTTTAAGGTCTGACACTCTTACCCATGCGCAATGAGTGTTCTCCGCTCAAATCTTCGTACTTTTATTGCTCGGGTGATAGGACAAATGCTTGGGGCCACGCCGAGAACTTATGGCTATTCCCGGGAACTCATGTTCCTCTGATCGGCGCCTGACACCTACTCCTGAGCGTTCAATGCTCGGGGAACAATACTCTAGGGCACACCGAGTAGGTATATTTTGCTTAATAGCCATTAATGCTTAGCAATTATGATTGTAGACTTAGGTCTTGAGAATACAGAGACTCATTAATGGCCTATCTCATTCACTCACATCGTCATAAATGAGTGGTCGAGTCGTGTTAAATGCTGGTGTCAGTTTGTGTACTCGGCTCCTTTGAGCCATTACTTCTCAGCGCCATTCCTCGGTGTCTTTTGAGTTCTATAACAGCTATACTTTCACATGTGTCGATTTAGGGGCTACTGAATCGTCTGGAGTCCCCATTAAATTTCATTTATATTCTCGTAACAAACTCAGGAGACACGCACGTGTGTCGTCGCTAAAATTTAAAAGAATGTCCACGTTGAAGCATGTCAGATAATTTGAGTACATATTGCAAAAAAATGGCAAACAATTTGTTCAGGGAAAATATTGAAATAATGGATAAAGTTCAGGTGCAATTATATTTTTAATCCTTAAATACGCATGCACATAGCATCGGTGAGGCCGTGTTTTTATTTTCTAATTTAATAAAATTTAATTTTTAATTATTTTATCATCTTAACAATCAATTAAACCAATTAAAATTCATAATTCCCAATTAATTTTAGTATAGTACCAATATTTTTTTTATAAATAGACTATCCTAAAAAAATTGAACTAAATAAGGTTAAACTACAATTCAATAAAATCGAGGTTATCAAGTAATAGATTACAAAAATTTCAGACCATTCTATAAAATAAAGTATATTAGCCCAAAAAGTTGTCGGAATTGTTACTTGACTTGATTAAATTATAATTTTCTTTAGAGTTAATTATAAAATGCCCTCTTGAACTTTGGGCCTTCTTTTAATTAGGTTTCTCTGGTGTAAAATCAAACAATTTACCCCCCTACCTTGAACATTGCCTCAATTAAGCCATCATTGTTAATTCTTACTGTCACTCGTCTCCCTAAACAAATAATCCATCAATCCAAACAAAAAAGAAAAAAAAATTTCATCTCCACCCACGCCAACAAATCTACTAAATCTCTCACAGTCCCTTACCAACAACAATCCTTACCATCAAAGATCAACAACCACCATGAGGAGTATTTATAGTGGTGGTGTGTTTACGATGGATTTTTTTGGTGGTTTGTGGCTGGGTGTGAATTACAGTGGCAGTGTGATAGCTGCGGTGATGGGTGGTTGTGGCTAGGTGGTGGTTGCGAGGGTTGGTGGCTGCGATGGTTAGTGGTTGATTGTGGCTGGGTGGTGGTTGCTGTGGGTTGGTGGCTACGATTGTTTATGGTTGGGTGATGGTGATTGGGTGGTGCGTGCGGTGGTTTGTAGCCGATTGATTGTGGTTGGGTGGTAGTTGCGATGGTTTGTGATTGGGTGATTGTGGCTAGGTGGTGCCTGCGGTGGTTTGTAGCTTGTTGATTGTGTTTGAGTGGTGGTTGGATGGTGGTGTTGGAGGTTTTGGCTCGATTGGGCAAATG